CGCACCGCGCTCAGCCAGTGAGCGGGAACCGGTTTCCACATGGGATCCGAACCCTCGGCAGAGCGCCGCCGCGCTCCCAAGCGGCGCACTCTCCAGTGCGCCACCGGGCAGGCCCTACATCAACAAACTCTGATCTGTACCTGGATTTGGGCAGCTCTCCATCATCTTTCCTCCATCGTACTGTAGGCACAGGGTCACCTCGGGCCTCACATTTAAATTCCGCACTGTCATCCACAGTTACTGCCAAGTTACTAGGTCTTTTCACAAATGATGGTCTCTCTAAAATAAGAAAGAACTGTCTTAAGATAAAAGGTGAACAAACTGGAAAACAATTAAGATGTTCAGCAAGAGCAGATTTATAATTTAAAATATTACTTAGAAAATTACTCCACATATTCCCTACTTCTAGAAGCTTCTCCCTCGGTTAAGTATTTCATCCTAGTTCTCCTCCCACATCTTTGGCTATTTTATTTTAGGCTGCTTTACTGATTCCTTCACTTCTCTTTGCACCTCTGACAATATTAGTTTACCAATATTTCTTTCTCCTTTGTATAAAGGTCATTTGTATCTTGTATAAAGGCCATTCTGTTTCCTTGTATAAAGATACAAAATAATAATGAGATGTAGATTAGATAAAATTGCACTTACCTAAAACAGTTAACTCTGCTACTTCACTCTCTCGTTCCCCAACCATGTTGGTACCAACACAAACATATTTGCCAGCATCACTTTTACGGGTGTAAGTAATCATGAGCTTTCCTCCTCGTATCTTAAAAAGAAATTTTCACGTGAATACTATTAAAATTGCTTTAGCTATGTTTACATGACAGAGGTCTTCTTAAGTGAAGTCTACTTTGTAAGCATATAAATTAAAACATAAGTATATCAAAAAGCTGATGTGTAATATTTGCTGTATTTTAGGTAGTAACCTCAGATAGAATTAACTCTGAAGATACAATATAAAACAGGCAAAATATTTTTGCTACATACATTTCTTGTAAAGCTGTTATATTCTGTATAGCTAGAAATTTGTATTTCCGAATCAGTTAAGTTCTTTCATATTATTTAGTTAAATAAAAACCACAAAAACTGTGCATGAATGAGTTGGTTAGTAAGTGGAAAAAAGAAAAAGGAAATTCTTAATACCATATGACTATAACTAATATGTACATCCATATCAGTTATAAGTGATTTCAAGGAAACATTCTAGTATTGTAAGATGCGGAAATAAAAATTTTTATAATTACTTAATTCGCCAGAGTTGCTTTAAAGGAATATATTGTAGTTGCCAAGGCATAGTGGAATTTGCCATTTTCCTAAAAAATCATAATGTTGCTGCCTCCCAAGCAGTTTCATGGGGACT